AAGTGAGTCAATGGTGTTAAACAAAACACGAGGCTTGTGACAATTTGCCAGAATAATATCTGAGAAATGTTTTCTTTTAGCATCTTTCACAGTTTCCTGGAAATGACGCCAACAATCCCTTAACATTTGAAGAGACACCTGCAGTTTGTCCTTCTTCCACTTGCGCTCAGCTCTACGGCACTCACGTCTGGCAGCATGAGTCATGTCATTTAGCCAGGGCTCAGATTTAGTTTTAGGCTGCCTGGATTTTAATGGAGCCACAGTGTCTAAAACAGTTTGGCAGGTGGAGTGAAACCATGAGCTAAGCTCTTCTGTGTGCAATACAGACTCAGGAGTGATGGTGTTCTGACTGAAAACAGCCGAGAACTGAGCAGCAGTGGAAGGGTTAATCATGTGACAGTGCCGTGCAGCAGTGCGAGGTTTAAATGTATGACAGGCAAGAGCAGTCTCAAATAATACAGGCATATGGTCAGAAAACACTGCGTCACATATCTCTAGATTAAGAACAGGTAAGCCATATGATAAAACAAGATCAAGTGTGTGTCCATGTTCTTGTGTGGGTCCAGACACAGATTGCACAAGATTAAAAGAATCAATGAGATTTAGAAAACCCTTTGTCATTGGCTTATCAGGACAACACACATGAACATTGAAATCCCCAACAATAAGAACATGATCATATTTAGGCATGATTTCAGCTAGAAAATCAGAAAAATCATTTAAAAAGTCCTTATTGTACTTGGGGGGCCGATAGACCACAGCACACTACACTGTGTGAGAGCGACCAATCTCAAATAAACTCAGCTCAAAGCTGCTGAAAGCGGATGACAGCAATATCTGCTTACATTTATAATGACTCTTATATACAGTTGCTGTTCCTCCTCCTCAGCCAGATTTTCGCGGGGAGTTAAGGTAGCAGCAATCATGGTGTAAAAATTCTGTGAAAGCGCTGGACTCCATCACCATCACTCAGCCATGTCTCAGTTACACAGAGGAAATCCAATCCTCGGGACGTGAAAAAATCCTTTAAGACAAAAGTCTTATTTGCTAGAGACCGCAAGTTGCTGTGATTTACTCCGCGCCAGCGAGGACGAGGAGAGCAGGGGCCACGGGGCTGGAACATCTCTTCCGGGCCGACGACAGGTATCAGCCAGGCGCCGACAGGGTCCAGTGAGCGTCGAGGAATAACGAGGCTAGACACGACTCCAAACTCAGTCCAAAAAGGCGTAGAACACCATGCAAGATGGGCCTTCAACCTCACCATCCGGCCACTACGTTTTCCCGGCAGTGGGTGCGCTTTCCTCGGCGCTCACGCCGAGAAGGTGGAGCCGGGGCATGCCAAAGGTGAGCCGGGAGCCTCGCCAGGAGCGGGGGCAAGGTTTCACGTCCACCATCATCCAATTTTACAAAATTTTCAGCAGTGTTTGGCGATCATACACCAGCAGAGAGTTGACATCCCGGGCAAAAAGCAAAACAAACACACAGCAGTGACAGTGATAGACGGCAAGCCACACACAATGGCGCCATCTTGTTCCACCTGATCTACCTCCAAATACACTTTACTCCCAAAAGTACAGACGACATATTAAGTGTCCCACCAGGGACACTAACACTGGAACACTGCTACACTACATTAAAGGACGCCTGTTGCTCTGTTCCCTGTGCCGCCTTGGGAAAAACTGAAATCTGCTAAACCTGTTGTAAAGAGTGTGAAAAGATGGACCAACGAGTAAAAGCTGGAGTTACAGGCCTGCTTTAACTGTACTGACTGAAGTGTTTTTGAGGCTGCAGCCACTGACCTAGACGAACTAACTGACACTGTAACATCTTACATCCGTTTTTGTGAGGACATGTGTGTGCCGACTAAAACCTGGTTCACAGCAAAACTCAGGCAGCTTCGTCAGACCAAGGAGGAGGCCTTCAGAAGTGGGAACAGAGTCCTGTACAACCAGGCCAGGAACACTCTGACTAAGGAGGTCAAAGCAGCAAAGAGGTGCTATGTGAAAAGCTAAATAACAGCTTTGCAGCCAATGATCCTGCGTCAGTGTGGAGAGGCCTGCGGACACACTCACTAACTACAGGAGACCATCCCCCAACACTGCTGCTATTCAACGACTGGCAGACGAGCTGAATGGCTTTTACTTTAGGTTTAAAAAGCCCACAGTCACACCTCTCCCCCGCTCCAACACCATCTTCAAACAGTCACCTTCCCCCTCTGACACACTGACACCCACACACCTGCACTCAAGATCTGTGAAAAGGATGTGAGCCACCTCTTCCAAAGGCAGAAGATCAGGAAGGCTCCTGGCCCAGACGGTGTGTCTCCATCCTGCTTGAAAATCTGCACAGACCAGCTGGCCTCCATCTTCACACAGATCTTCAAGAGATCACTGGAGCTGTGTGAAGTTCCCTCCTGCTTCAAACACTCCACAATCATCCCGGTCCCCAAAAAACCCTCCATCTCTGGACTAAATGACAACAGGCCTGTCACCCTGACACCTGTAAGTCATGAAGTCCTTTGAAAGACTGGTGGCCCACCTGAAGGACATTACAGGCCCCTTGCCGGACCCCCTGCATTTTGCCTACAGGGCTAACAGGTCAGTGGATGATTCAGTCAACTTGGGACTGCATTACATCCTGCAACACCTTGACTCTCCAGGGACATATGCAAGGATCCCGAACATCCTCAGCACCAAACTCACCCAGCTCACTGTGCCAGCCTCCACCTGTCAGTGGATCACAAACTTCCTGACTGACAGGAGTCAGCAGGTGAGGCTGGGAAACATCACATCCAGCACTCGGACTATCAGCACTGGCGCCCCCCAGGGGTGTGTGCTCTCCCCACTGCTCTTCTCCCTCTACACTAATGACTGCACCTCAAGAGACCCATCTGTCAAACTCCTGACGTTTCAGTCGTCGGCCTCATCCAGGACGGTGATAAGTCGGCCTACAGACGGGAGGTTGATCAGCTGGCTGTCTGGTGCGGTCAAAACAACCTAGAGCTTAACACGCTCAAAACTGTGGAGATGAATGTGGACTTCAGGCAGAGCCCCCCCCACTCTGTCCCCCATCACCATACTCAACAACCCTGTGTCTGCTGTGGAATCCTTCAGGTTTCTGGGTTCCACTATTTCCCAGGACCTGAAGTGGGAGCCCAACACGGACAATATCATCAAGAAGGCCCAGCAGAGGATGTACTTCCTGCACCAGCTCAGGAAGCTCAACCTGCCTAAGGAGCTGCTGATCCACTTCTACACAGCCATCATCCAGTCTGTCCTCTGCACATCCATCACTGTCTAGTTTGGATCTGCCACCAAAGAGGACAGGAGCAGACTACAACGGACAGTCAGGACTGCAGAAAAGATCATCGGTGCCAACCTGCCCTCCATTCAGGACTTATACATTTCCAGAGTCAGGAAACGGGCAGGAAACATCACTGCAGATCCATCTCACCCCGGACACAACCTGTTCCAGCTCCTCCCCTCCGGTAGGTGCTACAGAGCACTGTACACCAAAACCAACAGACTCAACAACAGTTTCTTCCCACAAGCCATCACTCTGATGATCTCCTAATTTCTGACTCACGGTGTCAGGAACAATTCCTGTGCAATAACCCAGTAACTCCGCCTCTAATCAGCACATGTTTACTGGCTAACACTTATTATTTATTCACCATTCTCTATTTCAGAGCTATTCATACTATTATATTACTCCTGCACAAAATACTTATACTTATTTATTCTAGCCAGGGCGGCTGTGGCTCAGGAGGTAGAGCGGGTTGGCCGTTAATCGGAAGGTCGGAGGTTCAATCCCTGGTTGCGTGTCGAAGTGTCCTTGGGCAAGATACTGAACCCCGAATTGCCCCTGGCGGCTGTTCAGCCAGTGTATGAGTGAGTGTGAATGTTAGTTTCCGTTTGAGCATTTAGGCTCAGTGTATGAATGTGTGTGACTGGTGAATGCAGATGTAGTGTAAAAGCGCTTTGAGTGGTCGAAAAGACTAGAAAGGTGCTATACAAGTACGGAGCATTTACATTTACATCCTTTGCACTATGCTTCATTGTACTGTGTACATCTATGCATGTATATGTACCTGTAGATAACATCCACCTTCGACATGTGCATACTCCTGCATCCTTTGCACTCTGCTCACTGCACTATTTGTCAATATGTCTATAATGTTTTTGTTCATAGTGTGTATATTTGTGTTGTCTACACTTAAGTCTGTCTGATTTTAATTTATTTTTATTATTGTGATTTTGTACTTTTGTATGAGTAAGCACATTGTGAGCAATGTACAATCCAGAGTCAAATTCCTCATATGTGTACACATACCTGGTAATAAAGCTGATTTCTGTTTCTGAAATGTAGTGAAATAAGGACACAATTATAAATCTCCTGTGACAGATCAACTTTTCAAACAGAGGGCCACTATAGAAGCACACTGCCACATACATCTTTGGTTTCTCCTGAAATGGAGGTGGAGAATGATTGCTTGCTGTCTTCTCCTCCTTTCCTGTCGGAAACGTTATAATGTTCGCACAATGAGGACATTTAATTGTGAATTTGAACTAGCCTTCAGTATAGTTGGTGCTGTAGTTAGTAATGCCATAATAATAATATAGTGGCAAATATGCACATGTTCATTTTTTATTCATTCATTCTTGTCAAAGATACCCGCTGAACTGTGAGAAAACCCCCTAAATCTAAACATTTGCTGACAAAATGAGCAATAGTATGACATGACTGTTGTTTTACTGATGCCATTAGTGATGTGGAAATGTACATTATGCTGAATTTATGCATTATCATACAGATCATCCCACTGCAGACTCCCAATGTTGGCTGGCATATCAGCCACACTCCCTGCTATTATTTGAGATCTGGCAATTTTTTTGAGAATACAAAATCCAATGGATCATCATGAATATCAAGCTGGTACAGTACAGTATGTGTATTGTTGTCAAAGCAGCTAATGTGCAGCTGAAAATGAGTTAATGTACCTTTTTCAAGACTACAACTCCCTCATGACTTTGGCTGTTGCTGATGATGTCAAACATGTTGCCCTCTTCTCCTGGAACAATGGCATAATCCACCTCTGCATTGCTGCCAGCATCCAAATCGTGGGCTTGAATATGACCCACTGCTGAGCCAACTGATGCTGACTCTGGCACCCACAAATGGAAAATACCTGATAGAATGACATAAGATAGGGAAAGAGACCAAAAAGCTAATAAGTCCACACAATCAACCAATTAGATGTCATCAGCGATGGATTGGCCATTTGGCAATTCTGACAAATGCCAGAGGGGCCGGACCATTTGTTTTGGGGTGGGCCGGTCAGATTAGTGTTTCACACACAGCTGTACTTGGGCGGGGCCGCCCGGGTAGATTAACGGCCGCCCAAGTATATTTGGCGACTTAATTTAGCATTTTGAAGAGAAACACAGATCTATCTTTTATGTTATAAGACGCGGGCATGGCGTTCTTTTACAAGCACGGACCCACGGACCGGGTAAACAGCAGTGAACATGCAGGTGCAGATGTAGACGATAACAAGCATTCACCACCTGCGGCGCACCTGCAGCTGACAACAGAATTGTGACTGCAGTGTCATTTCGGCCACTTTATAAAACATAGCCCACTGCTGATGAAGAAAGTCAACAGAGACTAAAAACTATTAAACATCATTTGCCAGTCACATACATTACTGTCACCAATCTGTCACACACGGTAATGCTTATATTATATATATATATATCTGTACACAAATGTAAGTAGTGAATGCGTGTGTTCTTGAGTGGGGATGTATGGTAATGTGGGCTGGTGTGGCTACAGTACCAGGGTTGAATTTTTGTCCCCATCTGACCCATGTCATTGTTGACACTTTCTTACTCTTAGCGAAGCGTGGTGGGTTGTCGTTGACATCACTAATAGTGATGTTTATGGTTGTGGTTGAGGCCAGCCCCCCCAGGTGACCTCCCATGTCCTTGGCTTGGAGAAGAACCTGGTACTCCCCTTTCACCTCGCGGTCCATGTTTGCTAGAGCTGTTCTCATCACACCTGGAGGAGGGGTTGAAAAGGGTGCTCAGTGTAATATTTAGTTTTCCAAATGGGGAGATAGACAGTACAATAGATTCTGTATTTAACCTTCATTAGGCCAGCATATTACAGCACTTTACCGTCAAAGTTCTCTTTTATTCCTCAAATGACTACTTAGACCTAAAAAAATGCGGAGAAGCCATGAGAAAAGTAGACGAAAGAGAAGCACTGATTCATGTGAGGACTGAAAAGTGTTAAGAGTTCCTCAGACCAGGTGATGGAGCTCTCTATTATTAGCTCTCTAACACTTTTGTTTTCCTTGCTCTTTATTTTTATAAGTCAAGTCTTCTTCCGTATGTTTTTCTGCATGTTTCAACTTCTTCATACTTCAACTATTAAACTGTTAAGCTCTTTAAGGGACAAGTGAGCTTGTATTCAACTTTTTTCTACCTTTTCTACTTTTTAAAATATTAAGCTTTTTAAAAAAAAAAAAGTTTTTACAATGTAAGTCAAAACTTCCACTTTGCAATGCTACTACTTCTGCATACATTCAGCTACATTCATCATTTCAACTTTAAACAATTTTTTTCATTATTAGCATTAGAGCTGCAGCTCTCACGCTGCTGTTCTCCTCGCTCTTTATTTTTTATTTCTTTATTATATATAACCCCATTTTTGGTATTTATCTTCTCCTGCACTGTTTGTCCTATAAACTTATATTCAACTTCAAATTGTACATATTTTTCACGAGATGCTATTACTTTCATTGCTGATACCTGTAATGGTTGATTTTATATTACTATTAATACGAGACTGGGCATTTCCTAACGTAAATGCATGTGAGAGCTGTTAGCTGTGACTGCTACCGCTGCTCGTAGTGCTCCCGATGCAGCTCTGAATTGTCACGCACTTTGGAAGCTGCACAAAATACTTAAACGTCACTTCTTGTGTCCCCTATGTGGCGCAAAGGAGCACCCAGTAACTATATGTTATGTCCCAGTACATCAAGTTTGGAACAAATTGAGAAAATGTATTTTAATCGCATGAGTTTCACACAGCGCTTACTTCCTGTTGCCAGTAGGTGGCGCTATGACTATAACTGAATTTTGGCATGTAGATGTGTTGGGGGCATCATCATCAATCACATAATGTATGGTATTGATTTGAGCATATGCAGCAAAGTTATAACAACTTTCTGTTTCATGGTTGCAGCATGGTACTTTGCTGCCACGCAAAGCACACACCGGTTAAGGAAAACTCAGAAGCTTTACAACATAACATCATCAATGTGTGACTATTCTAGATAGTTTTGAAGTAGATATGGCCAACCTACAAAAAGTTTTGCATCACAGCAGAAAAGTAGTCACTCCCTATTGCCAGTAGGAGGCACTATGACTATGAGTGAATATGAGCTTGTAGATGTGTTGAGGGTGGGACTTGAAGATACAACAACTTCCTGTTTCTTGGCAAAGCATGGAACTTTGCCGCCACGGATGTACTGTTAACTGAAAACTCACGAGCTTCACAACATAGCATTATCACTGTGTTAAGGATTTTCTGGGACAGTTTTGATGTTGATATTGCCAACATATCACAGCATAATGCATGACGCTATGACTTTGAGTGAATGTTGGCATACGGATGTGTTCAAGGTAGGACTGTTATCACATGTCAAATTTGTTACAGATGTGAGCATGTTCACTTAAGTTATAACAACTTCCTGTTTCGTGGCGAATCATTGATATTCTACTCCAAGCCACGGGCACCCCTGTTCAACCAAAACTCACCATTTGTACAATGTGTAATCATCGATGGTGTAAGACTGCACAGAAAACATTTGAAGTCAATTGAACTAATTCTCTTGGAGGAGTTCATTAAAGTGCGGTGTGTGTAAATCACCAAATATCACAAATAAATTCAAAATAGTTGACTTCCTGGTGGTTGTTGACCCGCCTAGGGTGTGAGCAAAGTTTAGTAAATTTTCAAGAATGTTTACGCTGTCAAAAATACGTTGTATTTGCAAAAAAAAAAAATTCTTTCAGAATTGGAATGCCGTGACCAGGATATGTTCCCTCAATCTATGAATGTGAAGGGAAAGTCCTTAACCACTGCACTATTAAGATACCCTACAAGACAAATGCTTTTAACGTTCTACATTGCTCTGGTTTTGAATGAACATGAAATGCCTCCAAATTACCAACAGAGGGAGCTCAATGACCAAAAATACCTGGCACATCACTGTTTAGCTTGTAAATATACTTTTTTGAGGTCCAGTTCACTGTTGTCGAATCAAATAGATAGAGCTATCAACTATTTTAAACACTGATATCCATGTAACCATTGATTGCATTTAGAAAGACTAAATATATACAAATATAAAAAAAACCACTGCAAGTCAGTGGGAATTGAACACTACACAGGTGTTTAAAGTTGAAAGCAATTAGCATTGCTGGCATTCGAACCTGGGTTTAGATTCAGATATGCTAAACTAAGCTAATGCTCTAACCAATTGAGCTATTCAAGCTTGATCCTTTGTTGATAGAAAAGTGCATTTGCTTTTGAAAAAAAAAAGCTTTTCAGCTGTCATTTTGAGTTAGGAATCATCTTTAGTTTGTTGGTTTCATTATGTTCAATCACCATACAGGTGAAAGCAATTATCGTTGTTGCCGGAGGTGGTATTCAAACCCACGACTGGATTATGGAGATGAATCTACGCAACTGGCAGCAGTTTCCAAAAAAAAAATTTGCTCTACCAAATCCATTTCTCCACACTCTAGGTGGTCTTGTGACACTGATAAATTATCCTAAAAGCTGTAAAACACTGAACTTTGGAAGGTCATAGCTCATAAACATTTTTAAGCAAACACCAAATACAACTTGGAAAGATCAACATCTTTTATGCAGTTTAAAATGGAGCTACAGCTCTCACAATAATAATAAAGAGCAAAGACAACAAAAGTGTGTCTTCATTCATGGGTTTGAATCCCATCTTGGCCGACAGTGTTAACTGACTGGCTTTCAACTTTACACAGCTGTGTGGTGTTGAAACTTAATGCAACAAAATGTTCACATGACTAACTAAAACTACCAAAATGACACCTAATATGCTTTATTTTGATGGCAAATGCACTTTTCTATCTACAAAGCATCAATTTGAGACAGCACTGGGTGTCTGGATGAATAGCTCAATTGGATGCCTTGAGACTTCTAAGCTGCACTGCTCATTCCTTATGTTGGCTTCCCATGATGGCGACAATATTGCAGTTTCTGATTGTTTAGGCCCAATTTTTGAAATTTTAGGCTATTTTGCCAAACTCTACACACTATCCACAAAATCTTATACTAAAAAAGCAATACATTTCACGCCCAATTCTTCAAACTCTTTTATAACTTGTGTTTTTGCATCAATACAGTATACACATACATCTTTGAATAAGCATGTAGACCAGTGCATTGAACAAAAGACATTTTTCTGCAAATGAATCGCATTGTTGACGGCCTAAACGTGTTTGAAAACATACACAACTTTACACATATGCTAGGCGGGCCAACACCCAACAGGAAGCCGGCCATTTTGAATTTAATCGTCACATTTTACGACTTACACACTAGAGAATTAGCCAACTTAAATTTTTTGCTGTTCATTCTAATCCCATTCATGATTAAACATTGTACAAATGGTAAGTTTTGGTCAACCGGGGTTGCCTGTGGCGTGGTGTCGAATTTCAAGGTTTTGCCATGAAACAGGAAGTTGTTATAACTTCAGTGTACATGCTAACATCTGTACCAATTTTGACACGTATGGTAAGAGTCCTGCCCTGAACACATTCATATTCCAACATTCACTCAATCTCATAGCACCACCTACTGGCTAGAGGAAATGACAAGATTTATGCTGTGATGAACTACTCAACTTCAAAAGTGTCCTAGAAAAGCCATAACACAGTGATGATGCCATATTATGAAGCTTGTGAAATTTTCGGTTAACAGCATGTCCGTGGCGGCAAAGTTCCATGCTTCACCATCAAAAATCGATTAGTTGCCATCAAACAGGAAGAGGTTGTACCTTAATGTACATTCTCACATCTGCACCAAACTTTACATGTTTACAAGTTCCTTGCTGTGATGAACCACTTCTTGCAGGTTGGCCATATCTACTTCAAAACTATTGGTAGAGTAGCAGTCATCAAAGCAGCATTCTAAGGGCTGTTTCACAAAACCAAGATAGTGGCTTGGTTAATCCAGCTGTGTTATCTGTTCAGTCAGCGGTCACGCCGATCAGAAACCAAGGTGTTTTTTCAGTTATTCCATGTTCTTATGTATGTGTTTTGCATATTGTTCATTAGCCTGCATTAAAATATCACAAGTAGCCTACATTTTGGTAATATGGTAGGTCATAGTTTGAGATTATTAGGTTTCATAATTGGAGAAGACAACGCGTGCACCCTACTTCACACACAGTGAGCAACAGCGAGGAGGTTTACGTGGAATAAAAGACCATAACATGTAAAAAAAAAACAGCAAAAGAAAAGTAACATGGGGACAGGAATAAAACAGTGAAAAAAAGTGTGGCAGATAGTAGTGGATCGACTGAATGTACAGGTGCTGGTCATATTAGAATATCATCAAAAACTTTTTTTTTTCAGTTATTCCATTCAAAAAGTGAAACTTGGATATTATATTCATTCATTACACACAGACTGATATATTTCAAATGTTTATTTCATTTAATTGTGATGATTAAAACCGACAATTAATGAAAATCCCAAATTCAGTATCTCCGAAAATTAGAATATTACTTAAGACCAATACAAAAAAAGGACTTTTAGAAATGTTGGCCAACTGAAAAGTATGAACATGAAAAGTATGAGCATGTACAGCACTCAATACTTAGTTGGGGCTCCTTTTGCCTGAATTACTGCAGCAATGCGGCGTCGCATGGAGTCGATCAGTCTGTGGCACTGCTCAGGTGTTATGAGAGCCCAGGTTGCTCCGATAGTGGCCCTTCAGCTCTTCTGCAT